GTTTTCCTTTAAGACATTTTCAGAGAACCTGACATGATTTTCAATGAGTCAATAGTTTTGCAAATTCATAAGCGTTCATTACCAGTGACATCCTTGTCTAAAAGCCATAAGGAAGCAGTGGCTGTAATCTATTGCATTGATTGGCTGTTCAAGCATTTTCTGATCGTGAACAGTGGAGCACTTGTCATAATTGAAGATTGGATTTTCCCCATTTATGTTAACAAAATGTCAGAACATTACCCTTTTTAACGTGGAAAATCCGAATTGTAGGCATGGATGGGAGATTCACTTGATCACTTCTTCGCTTCCTGTTAGACCTTTTTGCAAAATTATTATATTCGACTTGGAGGTGAAACGATTACCTCACAGAGAGAGTAGTTTACATTTAAATACGTCTGGATAGTAAGAATGGGCTAATGCGAAAGAGAAATGGAAAAAAGAGAACTTGTATGTGATTATTTCTCCGAGTTTTAAGGAACAGAACGTCTGAACAATAGAAATTTGTTATGCATGTTTGCACTCGACCTTTTAAAACCTGAGTAAGTGACGCAAATTGCATAATCAGGATTTAAGAAGAATATATAGAAGGGGCTACGAATTCTTGAATTCATCACTTTTTACCACATGGCATTTAACCAGAGTACGCTGTGCNTTCAATGAGTCAATAGTTTTGCAAATTCATATGCGTTCATTACCAGTGACATCCTTGTCTAAAAGCCATAAGGAAGCAGTGGCTGTAATCTATTACATTGATTGGCTGTTCAAGCATTTTCTGATCGTGAACAATGGAGCACTTGTCATAATTGAAGATTGGGTTTCCCCCATTTATGTTAACAAAATGTCAGAACATTACCCTCTTTAACTTGGAAAATCCGAATTGTAGGCATGGATGGGAGATTCACTTGATCACTTCTTCCCTTCCTGTTAAACCTTTTTGCAAAATTATTATATTCGACTTGGAGGTGAAACGATTACCTCACAGAGAGAGTAGTTTATATTTAAATACGTCTGGATAGTAAGAATGGGCTAATGCGAAAGAGAAATGGAAAAAAAGAGAACTTGTATGTGATTATTTCTCTGAGTTTTAAGGAACAGAACGTCTGAACAATAGAAATTTGTTATGCATGTTTGCACTCGACCTTTTGAAACCTGAGTAAGTGACGCAAATTGCATAATCAGGATTTAAGAAGAATATATAGAAGGGGCTACGAATTCTTGAATTCATCACTTTTTACCACATGGCATTTAACCAGAGTACGCTGTGCCACATTTTACCAGAGTGCATTGCGCCACGAACAACACGAGGACGTCGAGCTGTCCTTTTTCGCGTGGATTCCAGTCAGAATGATTAGTGGTTATGCTTTACTCTGATTTATATGTAAAACGATGTGAAGGAGATCGTGCTTGACTTTTACAACTCTTGCTTTTGTTCTTAGTGCGGTATGTGAAAGTTTGTAAACCTGGACGATTAATTTTGACATCTTAATTTTTAACTTGGTATGTCATTTCTTAGCACTCTCGTCTCCTTGGTCGAATTCTTATATGAAGAGAAATCGTCGTTATTAAAGCTTGTAGAATAATTAAAATAAACGAAAACCGTAGAACTCGCTAGTTTCATATATGCTGCGATCTATTCCTTTTCATCCAAACATGAATTGAAGCTTAAGCTTTAATATTTTCACACATCGCGATGGACGCGTCATCGACACAATCTGTCAACACTCCAGAGACATTTAATGCGGATCAGTACAGAATTAATAAGTTAGAGTTTTGCTTCTAATATTCCCACATCTTTCGATTTTCGCGATCTGGTAAAGTGGAGGTTGATGAGTATCGTTTTCTGTCCAAACATAGTTCAGATCACTATGTGCTTTTTTGTCACGATCCCTTGTTTCTGCACTTAAATCGCATGCGATGCGAAGTTCACAAACATGCAAAGTCGATCAAAATAACTGGGGCAATTTCATATCCTTGGGCTACACCAGCTATATGACTGAGAAAATTGCGAACAGGCGCGCGTTAATTTGCAGTGCAAATTAAGAATTAACGATAAATTGGCCTGCTCTCAGCCAATCACAATGAAGTAATTTTCTAAGTCATATAATGTCATATAAAGTTTTCCATGTCTATAATAAGACATGAAAAACATATTAGTAAACTGAAAATAGACAAAACAAGACGACCAGCGAATGGCCAAGACGCGCTTGTAGGTAACCAAGGTAGTTGTATTCTTCAAGGTAGTTGTATTCACAGGGGGAATCCTCCTTAGGAGAAAAGATGGCGACTGGTACGTTTACCCATAATTCTTAGCGCACGAAAACTTGAGCAACGCTTATAAAAACGTACAGAAAAGTTCTAACATCTTCAAACCTAGCATACAGTATGTCGTAAGTACAGGGACGAATATTGCAAAAATATTGCTTTCCTTGTACTTTAAGGGCAGCTGTGTAAGGTTCGCGTGTAATTATGGTAAAATGTACAGCTGCTATCTTTTTTCCTATTGGGAATACTTGGCTTATTTTTCAAGATGTGCTGTCCATAACATAAGCTCTTAAACAATTGCTTGACGAATTTAATTTGTGGTCGTTGATCATTGTGAAAATGAGGGTTATTATATAGTGTTAAGGTATTAAATATTTCTACTTATTGTTGACACCATAGCTGTTATAAAATTCCTGGGATTTCAACATAATTATAAAGTAAAATAATCATTTTGTTTCTCAGGGAGTTTTGGCTGACAAACGAACAAGATATTGGTAGTCGCTCAAACGAGGTATAATCGTCATAATATTTTTCGTGATCATGCCCTCTTTAACCAGGGTATAGCTGTAGTTGGTCTTGTGGAGTTGTCTTTGAATAAGCTTTTATGGCAGTTACTTGCCCACCTGATTAGTAAGTTTTGACATAATGTGTTTTGCTGTAATATGATGTAGTTTTTGTGTTCAGCTAAGGAAGCGATTGGTAAGTCTACGTGGAACAAAGTTTGATCTCTTTATTA